GCCATTTATTACCACCAGAAGGTCCTTCATGTTCCATGCGTAATAGAACAACTTCAATTTAGACACTCAAAAGCTTTTAATTTAACACAGAAATAGAAATGCATCTTTCAGCACCATTCAAATGTCATTTCCTTAGGCAACAGCTTGGAGTCTTTTACTTGGAAAATAAGAGAATTCTTGGAAAGGAGACTTGTGCTCTGGCTCAACTTTATTCAGTGACAGCATGGTTTAGACAGGTGATGGGGCTGATACTTCTCTCTGGGTTTTAAAAAGTCTTGGTAAGATATTACTTTCACAGTCACCTGATTTAGCACCTCCGCCAAGCTACCGAAATACAGAATTAGTGCCACATACTTTCTGCCCCGTGACAGGGACTTCTTCCCCAGCATCCGTGCTGTGGCGTGATGCGAGCCTTCCTCCTGCTCACCCTGCTCATTCACTAGTTGGGATCTGTATACATTTCCACGTCTCACTAGCAGAGTGGTGTGTAAGACAGAGAAGTTCCTGGATTGAGGAACTTTATTATAATCATCATATAGATGATCTTCAGAAGCAACTGACATGGAAGTTGGACATACATGGTGATAATAACGGGTGATGTTTTATGCCAAATAAACAAAAAGAAAGGCCTGTCCACACTCCTCAGTAGGAGTTCTGGGTTTTCTAACAGAATGTGTCAGGTCCTCTGCATGGACTAGTCACAGAGATTTGAGTTCACCTTCTGTGAGACAACACTATTTATCTCCTAGGAACAAGCACTTTGGATCTAGCAAAACTCCTGCCACATACTAGCTGGGATTCTGAGCCTTAATTTAATTTCCCTTAGAAATGCTCATAATTGGCGGCACCCATTGCTCAGTCAGCAGGGCACTGGCCACATACACCTAGGGTGCAGGTTCAAATCCGGCCCAGGCCTGCAAAGCAACAATGACAACTGCAACCAAAAATTAGCCAGGCATTGTGGCAGGTGCCTATAGTCCCAGCTACTGGGGAGGCCAAGGCAAGAGAATTGCTTAAGCCCAAGAGTTTGAGGTTGCTGTGAGCTGTGATGCCACAGCACTCTACCCAGCACGACAGCTTGAGACTCTGTCTCAAAAAAAAAGAAAAGAAAAGAAAAGAAAGAACGAACGAAATGGTCCTAATACCTAATGCTCAGTGTCACGAAGTTTAATAGATAAGGCATGGAGCCTTACAGATAGATGGAACTCAGTTCATGGTACTCGTTATTCAAAAGACATTGATGAGGGGCCTTTTATGCACCAGCTCTGGGCTGAAATGTACACATGCGGAAGGCCAGCAACTTGCTCTGAGAGCACACACAAATTTAGTAGGAGGAGCAGGCATGGAAATAAATCTCAGTGATTCTCAGTCCTGGGGACTATCATGGTTATAGGGAAAAAGGAGATGGCAGCACAGAGCAGTGTCAGCTTGTGCTGGAGCTGTGAGGAGCCTAATGTGGGATGTTTCACGGGAGAGGAGTTTGATGTGTCTAGAGAAAATGCTAGATATGAGGAGGATGGCGGCCATTTGTGGGTAGGGTTTTTAAAGGTGAAGAATATTTCAAACGCTTACCTCTCCATTGTTGAAAGCTGTACATTTAAGCTGTGCTTTCCTCCCTGGGTTCTTTCTACTGCCGTTCTAGAATCCCATCTGGCTGGCCTCTTTGCCTAAGCAGGTGAAAGAAGCAAGTGGTGATTGTCTGTAGTTTTTTAGTTGTAGTAACTACACCACAACACACTGTCTGCTTGGTCCCTAAGGGAAGATGTTTGGTGTTTGTTTTTTTTTTTTTAATATCAGTTATAATCACCATCAGCAACTCCAAATACCCCTGCCAGCATCCCTCCTGCAAATGTGAAGCTACTATCCCAGAATAACAAAATTCACTTGTGTCCACAGGTCTTGACTATATTTGTCTTACTTAACTGCATTGGTATTAGTAAAGTAAAAGGGTAGTTACATTTTGGAAAAGGTTCCATTTGCTCCAAATCTGTATGCTGGGAGAAACTGGCTAATTTTGCGCGGGTAGTATCAAAGGAGTCAAACTCTATGGACACTTCATGGTATCATTTGTGTTTAAGTGTCACTTAAACTTTAAAAGGGACATTATTGGAATAATAAAGTAATTAGCTATTAGGCAGTGACAAGAGAAATGAGATTGCTGAATATTTCTTTGTTTTAATTTTTGAGGCTGGGCTAATGGTGAAGAAGCTATCAGTTACTCATTAATCTTGGTTAGTGTCATTGATCTTTACCCGAGAAGAACTGTTGGCACTTTCTATACCCACGGAAGATAAATGGTAAAGGAAAAGATTAGGCAGTTTGAACAAAAGAAATACAATTAGCAAATAAGTGTATAGGAAAAAATAGTCCCTCTCACTAAAAAGCCAAAAATGCTCATTAAAAATCTGAAGTATCCCATAAAAAAAAATCTGAAGTATCATTCTGTATCTATTAAAATAATAGAGTTTTTAAAAATATTATGTCAATGCTTGTAAGACCGGTGAAACTGATGGAGATATACGTTTTTAGAGGCAATAAAAAGGTACAAAGCTTTCAAAAAGTAATATGTAACATGAATCAAGAGTCTAATAAATGTTTCCATTTGGGGGAATGCATCAAAGGAAATTGTAGAATTAAAAAAAGGGAAATTAACATAACATGTTCTTTGCAGCACTGTTTATAATAGTAGAAATATTCAAATATCAAAGGATAGTTAAATAAATTACATATTCATAGGAAGCAACAGTAATTATGAAAAGCCTATCAGAAATGCTTATCTTAGAATATTAAGAAATACACAGGAAGCAGAATTATAGATGCTCAGCATATATATAAAATTCAGCATATATATAAACTGGGAAACACCTGTGAGCATACAGAGTCAGTAGGATAGAGTGGGGAGTGCATGGATTTAGCAATAGACAGGTTTTAGTATGAATTCTGGCTCCATCTTTGCAAGCTGTTGATTTTTGACAAGTTATTTAACTTGTATATATATTTTTTTCTTACATACAAAATGGGGTTATTTCTATTCACCTACTAGGACTACTAAGAGATTAAATTAGATAATGCTGTAAAATCTTAAAGAAGGTAATGAAATTATGGATTTGATTTTTTACTTTCTCTTTTTTCCACTAATTTTATAATGTTTTTATAAGAGGATATATATTTTAATTTTTATTTTTATCTCCAAAGTGATTTCTGTGCAGAAACATATACCTTGTAGCATTCACTATATAGTTAACTGAAGTAATCTAAGTAATTATTCTTATTTAGTACCAAACATCTCAAAGTACATACTCTGCTAAACCGTATGAGTCTGTTTACCTAACAAATACTTACATAGCTTTTACCATGTGACAGCCATTGTTCTAAACACTGTATTCATGGAATCTTTTCAACAACCTTGTGAATAAAGTATAGTCACTAATCTCACAGGTGAGAAACCAACATGCAGAGAGGTTTAAGTCACTTACATCAGGCCCCAAGATACACGTGGTGGAGCCAGGGACTGGACACCTCAGGCAGCCTGGCTATGCGGTCCAAGGCCTGAATGCTGGGGTATTTTTCAACTAGTCAACTATAATATATTCATTGAATATTTGCAGTGTTTGTCACTGTGAGATACCAGGGAACACAGGACAAAATCTTTAACTTGAAAACAATCATTCTCTAGGCGTCAGCTGTAGTCTTGGCATGTTGCTTTCTCAACCTTAGACAAATGTCATCCATGCCACAGCCAAATGCTACTCACAGAAAAACACCGCTTCTCACCCATAATGCCCATGGCTCTAAAGAAAAGTCTCTGCAGTCTACAGCTTGGCTCTCTGGGGCAATGTCAGTGTTTTCAAAACACATGCTAATAAAAAAATCCCAGACTTTGCCAAAGTGCCTAGCATTCTGCAAACATTTTACCCAGGTTTCTCTTTACACATATCTGTAGGTATACATACATTCATATGCTACGTGTATATGTAACTAATATTTCAACCAAAATATTTATTTGATACTACAACCTAAAAATACGCATTCAAATATACTTTTTCTGTCGATTATGTTGTACTTCTCTTGATGAAAGATTTTCCTGCCATCTCTTTCAAATTGAAAAATATTCCGAGACTGCATGGCAAATTCTTACAAATCTAAAAACATATTTTAACATGATGGCTAAGAATAATGTGTTTAGAATCGGGCTAAATGCCATGTTAAGCACAGGTATTTACCCTATGACTTTGAGCAAGTTTCTAAGCCTTTCATGACCTCAATTTCTTCATCTGTTAAATGGGACATACCTTACAGAGTTATGAGACAAAAAAGGCATTAACATATAAAACAGAAAGTGACTCAGCCAATAAATGTTAGATATTATCATTTTTATTTGACCTCCTTATCTACAAAACCCATCTTTTTTTGTACTGACCTACAAAATCATGTTTTCCTGAAATGAAAACAAAATATGGAATTGCATTAAAGTATAAGATTGCTATGCAACTGGAAGTCCCATTTTTCAAGTTTTTGTGTTCACCACATAGGTGAATTGTTATTGATTAATTTTACAAATAAATATTATGAATTTGAATTAATAAATAAATTTGCATTAATTAAATACTCCTTCTCGGATTTATGATAAGGCCCCATATAAAATTTTGTTAGAAAAAAACTCTGCAGCTTAGAAAATATAATACATTGCATCATAAAGAAATTTATTTTTTTAAACTCTATGTTACCCCACTGCAGGGAGAAAATATTACCTTTCCCAAGTATGTTTGTTTCTTTTCATGTTTACTTTTCATTTAAAAGCTTACTTTTGAATAATACATATTGAAATTAAGTTATAAGGAAATATTAATCCCTTTTCTGATAGAGTGCTTATCACCAAAGAGTTAATCTCTGCTGTGTCTTTCAAGATAAGTTATCTTCTTGACAATAAGACTGATTAAACTATTCAAAAACATTTTAAATAAATGATCCATGTTTGTTTTCTCTGTTTTTTCCTGCAGTCATTCTCAACATAGCACGGCAACCCGTCAGCCTTCAGTGACTCTCCAGCGGGCCATCTCCCTGGAAGGGTAAGATACACAACCTCCTCTCACCATAAACTGTGCAGCCTGTGGATAGAAAGAAAGTCCTCATTTCTCCCGCCCTTCCTTCCCCCTCCCTCCTGTCCTTCCTTTCTTCCTTCCTTTCTTTGTTTCTCTCTTTGTTTCACTCCCTTGTTCTCTCTTTCTCTCTTTCTCTTTTCTTTGTCTCTCTCACACACACACAGACACATACCTCACACTCTTTTTTTTCTTGAATCAGCAAATATCTATGAAGTTCATCTTATATGCCAAGCACTGTGCTAGGTGCTAGGGGTTTTTTTCTTTTAATATTTAGTTTTATTTATTATAATTCTTTTGTATTTAATACACTAGCTACAGCCTTTAAGGCTCTAAATTTGTCTCTGTAGCTTTGGCCTCAAACCATAGTACTAGATTTAACAAGTCAAATAAGATCTCTTTTTTCTTTTCAGAGGGTTCATTGTCTAGGGTGAGTTACTGGACCCTATAAGGGATTACTGGACGATCAAGGAGGGGTACCACCTGGCTGAAAATGGGCATCAAAAGGGGAGGAGGAAGAAAGTCAGGGTAGTTTCTGAAAAAGAAACTCTAGAGCTGAGAACCAAAGGATATGTGGTTATTTGCCCGGTGCTACAAATGCATGGATATTCCTTCAAGTGAAGAGAAAAAGCATTAACGTTTACTGAGTACTTATTAGGTTCCAGTCTCTATCAATCAATCAATCTATCTATCTTTCTATTCATTTCATAGATAGATTGATAGATTACATATTGTTTATATCACCTATCTATCCCTTTATCTAACTTATCTGATTTTATTTCTAAAAATAGACCTAGGAGATAGGGGTCTTTTTTCCTAAACCTTGATTCTCAGGTTAAGTAAAGTAATTTTCCCAAGGACATTTACATAGAAAGTAGCACCACCTGGCTTTGAAATCAAATCTGTCTCCACTGTATAGCTCTGTCTTCCGTAACATAATATGAAAAGACTTTATCGAGCTGAGCTGGAGAGCACTGGTCACATTCTTTATAAACCACCTTCAGGCTACGTTAGACATAGGATTCTCTAGTAAAAAAAAAAAAAATGATGAAGAATTAGAATTGACTCTACCTTAGAAATTACTAAATAGAACCAATAACGTAATGTCTGGGATGGTTCTAGAGACCCATGTGCCTACTATGTGGCTGAAGTATTGTTTGCAATAGAGACGAGGGTGCGGGGACTAATCTCACCTCTTTCCTTTTGAAGACCTCTCTTGGCAGGGCACAGAGTAGCCATCATTTTACATTCATTCTCTAACACAAAGAAGACTTCCTCCAGCTATGAGAATTAATGGCATTTCCTTCTAAGACTATTTCCAAACTTTTTCTTTCTTATTATTAACAAAAGCTTATTAGCAGTTTGCTAATAGGCATTTTCTTTTATTTTCCACTTGAGTTAAATGAACTCTGTGATAGACATAATCACCAATTCTAGTTATCTGCTAAGATGAAGCCAAAAAACTTAAAGACTTTATCCTGACTACAAAATGCAACAGTCGCGCCTTTTCGGAAAAACAACACGCAGTACGGCCAGCTTCATAGTGCTCCATTATTCTAATACAAAGTAGTTTGCCATATGTCCAGCAAATAATGCAGCATAAATGCATTCTGTTCCACGCAAGAGTGGAAGAAAACTGACTCTGGAATCAAAGAATTAGGTTTGAATCCCGGCCTCTGCCCTCTGTTGTTATTGATCTTAACCTTCACCTCTACGAGCACAGATTTCCTCGATACCCAGAGGGACGAATAGTACAGGATGCACCGATTTTTTGTACAAGGAGCAGGTACATGTTAGACCCTCCATAAGTACTGGTTAAATATGCATTTAGTCCAAATGTTCTGAAAAACAAACCAGAAGACTTTTATTTTATAGCCTAGATTACTTTTACACCTACTTTAAACACTTGCTCCTAAATAGAGTACATACTTTTGTACTTATTTATTTACTTGTTTATTTATTATATAAAACATTTCTGGATATAAAATAAAACCTTTGAGGTAGAAATAACTTTACATTGCTGGCATACTTAAACAGGAAGCCTCAGTGATTCTCTATAAAGTCCAGACACTGCATGTCACACCCCACGTGCCTGGCTGGCGGTCAGACTGCGAGATAATGCAGCATATAATCGTGTTACTGAACACGTAGTGGGAGAGCCATTTTTCATCTTACATAGACCGGTGAGTCTTTAGCGGGTTTCCCATTAAGGTGTATACTGCTGCATGTAGGCAGTCAACTGAAATCGGAAATTCTCGGATTTCAAAACTCTGCTTCCTTATGCTTCTGTGAAAAGCAACTACAGAGTGTATTTTTTAAATTAATGTAGTCTAAAAGGCCATATGTTTATATAATTTTCATCTAAGCTGCTATGTATTTGACATAAAATAAGTGAAGATGTTTCAGATTTCCAGTTAATTTGATCCATGGAGACAACAGAACTGTCTAATTGGGCCCTCCACCGTAGAGTCACTGCTGTTTTTAAATTGATATCTGAGTCATCCATGACTATGCCAGGCAAAATGAGACACCATAGCATCCTCCTCATTAACAGTGCGAGCTCTGTGCTTCAGGTTCAAGTTGACAGACACGGCACACACCTCAATCTCCTCTTCCTCCTGAGACCCTATTAAAAGGAAGCTAATGGAATAATAAAAACAATAAAGGACAGTTCCACAGTGAGAAGGAAAACAGAAGGGAGTATCAAAGGTCAAAGTGTTTCATCACATTTCAGGTCAACAGAAAGCCAATAGAAGGGTATTGACTGATGAACAAAGCAGCCTTAGATCCCTGTCAGACTCGGGACACACTCTTCACTATTTGGCATGGAGGGGAGGTATCTCCTGGCCTTAGGTTTCCAGGGAAGCCACAAACGGCTCTACCATGGTGTAGTAGCACCCTGAGCAGGGTCTGCCTACAGCTCAGATGACCGCAGGTCTGCCCAGCAGAACCCAGAAAATGCAGGGAATTCAGGGTGCTGACAATGGGTAGGCCTGAGAGCAGAGTCTGAGAATAGGAATGAAGATGCCCACTACTTAACATAACAACCCTTGCACCCCAAACAGCTTCCAGGCAAGTTATTAGTATTGTTATTAATTAGTAATTACTTCCAGGCAAGTAATTAATAAACATTAAAAGAAAGAAACATTCTTTTCTGAAGAAACAGAATCCTCCTTCTGTGGAACCTAGATGAGCTCGTTTGAGAGTTGACCCCCACAGAAAAGCCCTTCACAGTGTGCCAGTGGGGCAACTCGTTCTGGGTTGCTCACCTAATTGGAAGCCTTCCAGTTAAAAAGCCTTATCCTCTGACAGCCTTTCTATCACTTTGTTCTTAAATATAAACAGACAGCCACAAGTTACCAAAAAAATGTTTTAACCTGAAAAATGGCAAAGACAAGGTTAATACACACACACACACACACACACACATACACACACACACACACGAGAAATAGCTTCAAGGAAACAGGCAATTCTGGGAACAAAGTAAAATCTGAAAAGCATACTCAGCATAAGCATATTGTTTTAGCAATGTGGAGGTAACTATTAGAATTAAAACTGAGATGGTTAAAAGAAATTGCCTCTGGGAAGGCAGGTAGGATTCTCAGGAGAAAGGACACAAATTGAATTTTGAGGAATATGGTTGGAGTAAGTCAGAGATTAAAAAGAAAAGGAAAGGAAGAGGGCGGCACCTATGGCTCAGTGAGTAGGGCGCCGGCCTCATGTACCAAGGGTGGTGGGTTCAAACCCAGCCTTGGCCAAACTGCAACAAAAAAATAGCCGGGCTTTGTGATGGGAGCCTGTAGTCCCAGCTACTGGGAGGCTGAGGCAAGAGAATCGCCTAAGCCCAGGAGTTGGAGGTTGCTGTGAGCTGTGTGATGCCACAGCACTCTACCGAAGGTGATAAGGTGAGACTCTGTCTCTTAAAAAAATGAAAGAAAGAAAAGGAAAGAAGAGAAAATCATATGCAGAAACCTAGATGCAGTTTTCTAACACCTCTAGAGCCAAGAAGTCTCTCCAGCTACTCAAAAAGCTTTATTTTTCTAGTAGAAGGAGATTTATTGTATGCTACCTTACAAGATCAATTCAGCAACATATGTAGAGGTAGAATTTTCTAGTGACTAGTGTTTTTACATCAGTAAAACAACTGCCTTGGAAGGTGTTGACCCTCCTTCATAAGTAACACTTAATAGGAAATCAGATGGCCTTCTTCAGGAAAGTAGGAATTCTTTATGAAATAAATGGTTGGTCTAATTGGCCTCAACCAAAAATCTCTCCCAAATCCAGAAGTCTATGAGAAAAAAGTGGTCTTGCCTATAAATGGATACATCTAGGGAACCGTCCGTTCAGGTTCACGGGTCTGTGATACCACTGTCATATTTTCTTACCAGAACAGGCCTAACTCCATGGGGAAACTCCTAACTGCTTGGCATGAAAGAGACTCTCTCCACACCCTAAGACCACTCTAGGCTCATGATGCAGTGACATCACTGGTGTCCCATGTTGGGCCTGAGCAGGCAGGTAATGCACCTTTGATGGAATTATTCCCTCTCTACTTGATCCTTTTTGCTTAGATAAGAGATAATTATTTACAGCTAACAGGCTTCTGATTTCCTAGGATAACACTGACTTCAAAGACTCAGTCTTCTTAGGCTAAGTGCCCAGATATTTGGTTTCACAATATATGGTCACGGTAGGGAGTGACCTGAGAACCGTCAATGAATCAGGACCTATAGCCCAGGTCATGCCACTTCATCCTGTGTGATTTTGAGCAGGTGTCAGTCAGTTGATACAGAGTGATCAGGGTGAGTTAACCAAACAATGTCTCAGATGCCTTTCAACTCTAACATTTTGGATATAAAAAAGTAGCTTATGGAATTCAAGGATAATGACTAGATATGAAGATTGAACTTTTAAGGAACCACGAGGCTCTAGGTAGCTGACTTTTGGGGTGCGGTTGGCCTGAGTTA